GATGGATGGATGGATGGATGGATGGATGGATGGATGGATGGATGGATGGATGGATGGATGGATGGATGGATGGATGGATGGAAGTGGTAAAAAGTGTCTTAATATCTGTGAGATGATGTCTCACAATCCCCTGTGATGGCGAGGACAGTAACTCCTTATAACACTGCTTTATGCATCTTCTGTTGTGACCCTGTAGAAGAGAGAGTTTGTGGCATCTTGAAGATTTCTTTCTATGATAAACGTCTTCTTGCCCTTCTTCCATAAATAGATTAAGTTCTGACATAATGTTCACATACCTGAGCTATAGATAACTGCTGCTCCTCTGGTGTTAATTGGTAGTTCCTTTGCCTGGCCTTTCAGTTTATATTGATGGCCATGCCATGGTAGTAGAGTTTTGTAAGACTAAAGGGTTAACCGTCTAACCAGGTAGTCATTGGGTGCATCAGATATTAAAAATAATATAAGTGGCATGGTGGCTGCTTTGTGGCATGGTGTGGTAACAATTGTCTAATCCTGAAGGGAAAGAAAACAAGGGCGACAATCGTAGATTTCAGAAGAAACAGCAAAAAAATGAAATACTATTATTATTACGGCAGAATAAATGGAGATAGTAGAGGAGTTTAAATATCTGTGTTCAGTTGGACAACATGCTAGAGAGGAGACTGAATTGTGAAGCTGTTTACAGGAAAGGACAAAGTAAACTATACCTCTTAAGAATGCTTATGTCCAGTTTAGTTTTTGCAGCAAGATGCTACATAGCTTTATAAATCTGTTTTGAAGATTAGGATCTCATCTGCCATCATCTGTCTAGCTACATCTATCAATATCTACAACAAGTTATTAAAAAGCCCTGTGAGAATTACAACAACATCTAGTTTCCTTTTGGGGTGAATAAAATAAATTTAATTTTATTAATATTATATTTAACTGCAGTGAATTGAATTTGGTTCCACTGAGTTTTATTTTTGGTTGACAGAGCAAAGGTTGAGTAAAATTTCCCATCATACTTTAAGTATATTTCAAGGATTTTTATTAGCAGAAAAAAAAAGACAAAAACAAAAGAAGAAAACATCGCACAATCTTTCTTCCACTACCCTAAAACGTTGTTGGTCTAGCACAGTCTTCTCAACCCTGTCCCACGGGACCTACTGTTCTGCATGTTCTAGGTGCAGTATTTTGATACCACCACCCACCTGGGTTAAATAAAGGAGTGATTAATAGGCCTCTGCAACCCTTGATGGCTTCTGAGGACGTAATGCCAATATTTGTATTAGATCTCCAGAGAACATATAGAGTAGTAGAGCATATACTGTAGAAGTGGGACCTCTAGGCATGGATGGGAAACACTGGTCAGTCACAAAAAATTCTAGTAAACTATGTTGCTGTTATTTTTGTGATATGACAAAATGTGATCAAAATTTTGAGGAGAATTTTTAAAAAAATATATGAAGTGATAAGAAAAAGAATGACAAACATTGTATTTCATCAGTAAGAGGTCATGTGTAACTCTGATTGTCTCGTCTTATTTGAAAGAAAAGTGAAGCTAGTGATCTCAATTTTGACAACAACAGTTTAAAATTGTTCAGTTTTGGGACTCATCGAGATAAATAGAAATTCTTTAATATTTCAGACTTTTAGGAAAAATAAGCATGTATCAAAAGATGGGTGTCTTTTAGGGATTCAGGATTTTAACACACACATAATGTGAGGGATTTTTGGTCTGTACTATTCTTTAAATTCAGACAGACAATCAATAATACGAAGCTAGCACCTGCAATAACCACTGATAACTTTGGCACTTTTTTAATGTTAAAGGAACAGAGCTCTTTGATATTGAATGTGTTTTTTGGAAAGAGGTTATACCTATTTAAATGTTAACCTTGATAAATGTCCCCTCATAGAGCAGAACTTACATCTTTTCCATCTCTGTATATTGTCCTGTTAAGTATGAATCTAAAATATGCAATGCTTTTCCTTTTCCATTCAGAGAGATTCTACTAAAAAGCTGTAAAGGTATGGCACAGAGCCGGATTCTCTACCATGCAGCCCATCTAAGCCTTTCACTCATTATGGCCATATGGGTAAACAAAAATGACTCAGCAAAAGCACAGAGCAGCAATAAACCAAGCTTTCAGATGAACTGTGGCTTTGAATAAAAAATGTATAGCTTTTGGACTTTTTATAGGTGGGCATTGCTGTCAAGAACATTTTCACGATGAGCCAAATGTGTCGCAGACATAAACAGAATATTTTCATGTTGGTTTAAAGATTGAACAAAGAGTCCTGAAATAGCTTTTTACTCAACAAGAGGAGATCTTACTTGTGCACTTTTTGAGCCCAGACCCTTTTTTCACTGCATGACGGCTGAGTTTGCAGTTGAAGTTGTTCTCCCAGAACTCAGCAAACCAGATATTCCTTCTGTTGTTTTCCAGTGTTCGGCTGATGAAGTACCTATCAAACCCTGAAAAGATTAAGGAGTTCATTGTCACAGGTGCAGCCTTGAAACATTAAGATGGTAACACCTCTGAGCTATGACTATGTTATCAAATTAAGTAGAATTCAGTGTGGTCTGTAAATCATTATACATTATATACAGTGAGGAAAATAAGTATTTGAACACCTTGCTTTTTTGCAAGTTATCTCACTTAGAAATCAAGGAGGGGTCTAAAATTGTTATCCACTGTGAGAGACATAATCTAAAAAGAAAAATTCAGAAATCACAATACATGATTTTTTTAATATTTATTTGTATGATACAGCTGCAAATAAGTATTTGAACACCTGTCTATCAGCTAGAACTCTGACCCTCAAAGACATGTTAGTCTGCCATCAAAATGTCCACCTCCACTCCCTTTATTATCCTAAAATAGATGCACCTGAGGTCGTTAGCTACATAAAGACACTTGTACACCTCACACAATCAGTAAAAATCAAACTACTAACATGGCAAAGATCAAAGACCTGTCCAAAGACACTGGAGAAAAAATTGTACACCTCCACAAGGCTGGAAAGGGCTATGGGAAAACTGCCAAGCAGCTTGGTGAAAAAGGTCCACTGTTGGAGCAATCATTAGATAATGGAAGAAGTTAAACATGACTGCCAATCTCACTTAGAATGGGGATCAATACAAGATTCCACCTCGTGGGGTCTCAAGGATCCTAAGAAAGGTTAAAAATCAGCCCAGAACCACATGGGAGGAGCTTGTTAATGACCCAAAAAGATCTGGGACCACTATTTCCAAGTTTACTGTTGGTAAAACAATAAGATGTCATGGTTTGAAATCATGCATGGCACAGAAGGTTCCCCATGCTTAAACCTGCACATGTCAAGGCCCATCTTAAGTTTGCCAATTACCATTTTGATAATTCAGACGAGTCTTGGGAGAAGGTCATGTGGTCAGATAAGACCAAAATAGAACTTTTTGATCACAATTCTACTTCAACCACATTTGGACCAAGTAGAATGACGAGTACCATCCCAAGAAAAACATCTTTACTGTGATGCATAGGGGTGGTAGTATCATGCTTTGGGGGTGTTTTTCTGCACATGGGACAGGGCGACTGCACTGTATTAAGGAGAGGATGGCCGAGGCCATGTATTGCGAGATTCTGGGGAACAACCTCCTTCCCTGAGTTAGAGCATTGAAGTTGGGTCGAGGCTGGGTCTTCCAACATGACAATGACCCAAAGCACACAGCCAGGATAACCAAGGAGTGGCTCTGGAAGAAGCATATCAAAGTGCTGGCGTGGCCTTGCCAGTCTCCAGACCTAAACCCAATAGTGTCAGAGGCAACCAAAGAGGATTCAAATGCAGGACTCAACTTAGGGAAAGGATGTCAAAAAGCCATTTAATACGCTACTGCACAATGAGTGGAGCAACAGGCAAAAATCTAAAAAAAAAAGGCTGGTCAAAAAAAACAAGGAAAGAGCAACAGGAAGTTCAAAAAACAACTGAGCTAGACACAAAATGACAAAATGGAAAGAAAGAAACTAATCAGCAGAGCTGCATGTGGCAAATAGAGAATCTTTGGAGGGAGCTCAAACTCCGTGTATCTCAGTGACAGCCCAGAAACCTGACTGATCCAGAGAAGATGTGTGGAGGAGTGGGCCAAAATCCCTCTCGCAGTGTGTGTAAACCTGGTGAAAAACTACAGGAAGCATTTGACCTCTGGAATTGCAAACAAAGGCTATTTTACCAAATATTAACATTGATTTTCACAGGTGTTCAAATATTCCATTTGCAGCTGTATCATACAAATACATACAAGTTAAAAAAGTCATATATTGTGAATTATGGATTTTTTTTAGATAATGTCTCTAACAGTGGACATGCACCTACAATGACAATATCAGACCCCTCCACAAATTCTAAGTGGGAGAACTTGCAAAATAGTAGGGTGTTCAAATACTTATTTCCTAACTACTATTAAACATTGTAAAAAAAAAAAAACAGTTTTCCTTTGAAGCAACAGAAAAGTACCCAGAGCTCACATAGAAAATAATATTTCATCAAAATGTGCACAGAGTTGTAGAGCAAGAACATATGATTTTTGCACAATTCTCACACTGATACCTTTGATGGACTGTCGCTTCGGTAAGATGGTGACGGCTCCCTCTGCCATCTCCTCCTGGTGCACAACCGGAGAGATCTTTGAGCCCCAGCTGTCTGAACCCACCCAGATAAAATGACCTGTCTGGTTGGCCTTTTTTGCTGCATGGAGAAGCCGCCTGCGAAGGAAAAGAAACAGATGTTGCCATGGATAAGGTCAGCATCCTAACCTGCTTCGCTTTGATTTTGGTTTGTTACACAGTGGGCAAACACACAGGTAGAAACATTTTTTTTCTGCTGTAGTCCCGCTTTTCTTATCTTCAAAGCACTATAACAGTATGTAGCTATAAGCAGGCTTTACCTGATATCGTCTTCGTTGGCAAAGAGTATGACAACCCTTGCATTTGGATTTTCCCCAAGTCTTTGGATGATCATGTCAAACTCTCCCTGTTTAGGTTCCCGGGGAATCTTAACAGACTGTGAGATGCACACACCACCTAAAACAGAAACATTTAAGTTCTGTTATATCCCCTGATTAATTCACATCAAAAAGGAACATTACAGAAATGTAAACATTCATTATTTATTAACAGAAACAGGAGTTTATGTAGGTTTTTTTTTAAATAAATGTTCATCAGGGCATTTTAAAAGTGACACTAAAAGCAATATCCATTATATTTTATGTTTTATAGGTATTATTTTTCACCATTTTAAGTTTGAAATAGATTTATATATGTCACTAATATTATTCCCAATCAAAATATTGTGTCAGTCATAATCAAAATATTAATTTAAATATGCAATACCTGCAGTTATCACTCTTATATTTTTTTTGTAATTTTGTATGAAATAATAAACATAATGTACTCCACGTTGCACATTTTATTTATGTTATGCTTGGACATACTGGGTGTAGTAGTATTATTTGAAAAAGAGCATTTAGGAATGAAATGTAAATGTGAAAGGGATTCCTTTATTGTGTTGATGCTTTGATTCTCTACAACAGCAGGAATGTGATGCTGTTGCAAACTTTGTCCAACAGTGCAATTTGTAACATCTGCTTTGTAATGCTCAGGTGAAAACCTACATTTTAAGAAACAAGACACATTTCAGTTTCACTGCAAAAAAAACTCAAAACTTATCAAAAATTTACCTGAATCTACAGTAAACATGTATTTGGTGTAATTTTAGAAAGACTTGTGTGCATTACCATAAAAGCACAAGATATAATCGATGAACAACAAATTAATTAGTCACACATTTCTCATACTTGGCCCAGTCTGGTGTTTATGCACCACCCACATTCATGTCTGGATACAAGGCTCCCACACAGAAAGGAACTCAATCGGTGAATGAGTTGTACTCAAAAGATCCAACAGATTAGACTCAGCAACTCTTCTGTAAGTACAGGCAAATCCAGAAGAGAAAGAAAAATATATAGTTGGTGTTAAAGGAGTAAACATTGAAAAAATAGTTTTAAATGTAGTACTACATTTGAAATAAATTTTTAGAAAAAAAAAAGACTGATGTTAATACCATCATTTGTCATGGCCATTGTCAATTTTGAGTGTTACCTTTAAAACAAGAAATAAAAAAGTAAACTACAGAAAATGTACATTCATTTTTTTCAGGATCATCAGATGAATTCAGGTCGGTCAGAGCAAGGGAAAAATAACTGTTACATACTGGATTTTTGTAGAGGATGATCTTAATTAAACTGATTCTCAAGTTCTCTAAACTCACATCAAGTTGCTTGATATAAATGTATGGGGAAATCATATATTTCTGTACATGCATTAGTATTACGGAATTTTTATGTTTAACTGCATAAATCAGTGTCCATGTAACACAAGGACTTTGTTTTGATTCCTGTAAAAATCTGTAAAGACAAAATTATTACTTTAAACATTGTAACAAGACAAGCAGGAGTGCAAGACTCCTACATGGTTCATAACAAGCAAACACCTTTTTCTTTTCTTATTTAATCCACAAGAGAAGTTAGGAATGTATTATGATCAGAGCGGTATGCTAATTTGTGATTTCAGTTGTTTAAGTTCACAACTTTATAAATCAGCCATACTTAACAGTAAATCACTAAGATGTTAAGAAATCTGAGCTCCATTCTCATCTAGAAACAGAATTAAACAAACATATCCTAAAAAGGATGTATGGTAAAAATCAAACTTCCGCTGTTTTTTAGTTCAAAATTATTGTTATTTTGTTTTTTTTTGGTATTCTGATGCCTGATATGCATGTTGACTGCAGTTATGACAGCCTTTTATTCTCAGACATGTGTCTGTGATGTTTTGTCCAGTTGAATCAGATGGCATCATTTATCAGCCATTTGTTTGCTTAAATTGATGGTTTAAGATGTCACCATAGATGGCTATCCTGGCCTTATTTGGACAAACTCCATGTCTTCCTAGGAAAATAATAGAAACAAATACAAGCTGTTGTATGGGGCTGGCTACAGTGAGGAAGTCCGTCTTTGTGATAAAGATCTGCCATCTTATCTCGGACCTCCAAGTATAGCTATACACTGTGATTCCTTCCAGATAAACTACAACATGCACAGCAGGGTAAATATGAGAGAAAGACAAATGTGTAAATATGGTGGAAATGAATTTTTTTTATTATTATTTTGTTTTGTGTTTATTTTGTGTTTTTGAAGCAAGTGAACAGAAGCACAAAATCTTTTCATCCCATTATTTGGAGGGCACTTTGAGAAGTATTGTTAATTGAATAGTTTAGCTGTTTATATATGGAACTGCCTGTCCCTCCATGTCCCTTCCTTACTTTAATCACTCAGTCAGACACATTTCACTAAAATACAAGACACCTTTTGAGCATATGCATAAACTGAACTATCCTAATCTTTTTTATTTATTTATTTTTCTTTGAAACTATGTTCTACTACTTTCTTTTAATCTATGCTATAATCTAGAGACTAACTTTTTAGATAATCAGTGGATGAATGTGATGGGTATAGGTGTGTGTGTCTTTGTGAATTTGCAATGTGTGTGTGACTCTGTTTTAGATCCATATGTATGTAATGAATAATTTCGAATCAATTCTAAACTAGACATAAATATAACATTTATTTTCCTGTCTTTTCCTGTAAATGGAAAACCTCCCAGTTTCAGCCATGATTCTGATGCAATTTCAAAACATCAGCAGTATTGAAAAGCTCATTATATTAAAATTAACTGTGAAGCTTAATGCAAAGTGTGATGTAACTAGACATCGTTTGGCGATCACTTGTCTGAGGTGCATTAAAAACACTTCTCAATGACACTTCTGGTTGAAAAAGTTAAAGCTGTTGAACAGACTCCAGGGTAATATCACTCACTATAGAAGCTCTGGTGTCAAGGCAGGCTGGCAGCACCACTCCTTGTTCCTCACTGTTTCAACTAGCATGATCTAGTGATGTCTTACCTCCACCGTGCTATCTGCTCATTTTTTCCCCAAATCCCTTATCCATCTGCACCTAGCATTCTTCCCAAACTATCCCTGAGGTCCCCTGCAGGCAAAAAACCTTGAAAACGTAGGTAGGCCTATGAGGAACCAATACTTAAAACCCTTTAAACATTATATTATCCCTGTGATTTTTTTTTCCGATCTCTTAAACCATTTTGTCTCAGCAGTTGAATCAACTAAATTATCTTAAATTACCTCTCAGTACTCAAGATCAGATAAACTGCCTACAAAAGCAGTGTTTCCATCATACTGAAATTTGTCAACTTTTAAAAGTGCAAAACAAAGGAATTGCAAATTTGTGGTATTTTTATTTGGTTTGATGCAAATCAACCAATCTCAGCAATAGCATCCTACGTCATTGTCCATATGATGTCTAAAATTATCTTAAAGATTATCTAGATACAGGTAACAGTCTTTCTTTTTGTAAATAAGGTTTTGGGAATCGTCCAGTTAGTAATACAGTTAGTAATATAATCTGTGATTTTTTTGCTGTTGTTTTTCTTGTTTTATTTTTTCCCCATTTAAGTTCCTTTTAAATTGTTAATGATTGGTCTGTATAATAAAATCTTTTTGTGTGTAAAATGTCTTAGAAGAGAAAAATAATTTAAGGTACACTGTTTTTTTTGCCATTTTAGTGAAAAAAGCTCAGGCAGACAGTGAAAGTGCTTGTGCAAATGATGAGCAAAACAAAAGGTTTATTCATTTTTATTCAAACATAATAGTTTTTCAACTGTTTTTGGTTTTTTAAACCAATACAAATTAGTCACATTAGCCAAAATACGTGTTGTTTTTTATCACAACGTTCAAATGTCTTAGGTGGGTCTTAAACTATTAACCTAAAGAGTGGAAGTCCATCTCTTACAGCTGAACCCAGTAACATAATGACAGTTCTTCAGATAGCAATACTACTAAAAACCCATTATTTTGATCATTACATTGTTTAATCTAACCAAACTAGTTTTGAACCACTAGATTGGTTGTTTTTCCAACCAAGCTATTCTTAGAATATATCTAAACTCTATCCAGCTCTCTTACAAACTCCCACATCTTGACTGATACAGAGGCTGTTAAAATGCCTGTCGAAGTTCCAGGCGAGCTGAACCACTTCCCAAAGGGGTCATATGGTATGGCAGGGTAGAGAGGCTTTGGACGTCATTTATTTTGGCTCCTTACCCAAATGTAGCAAGCCTCGATACACGCCTTGCGGCAACGCCCCCTCCACGACTCAAAGCCTTGGCTCTTCTCATAACATCACTACACAGCACTGAGTCTGCCCATTTAAAAGTGTTTAATTATATTTTCTTAGCTCCTGACGCTGGTGAATGTGCTTTTCTTTTGCTCTTTGACTTAACTACAGCCTTTGATGCAATTGATAATAACATCCTTTTATCTCATTTAGAACATTGGGTGGGGATCTGTGGAACAGCATTGCAGTGGTTCTGCTTTGAGGGATCAAACATTTTGTGTGAGTCTGGGAAATTCTGTATTCTCCACTGCACCTCTTTTACATGGAGTTCCTCAGGGTTCTGTCTTGGTCCCCCTTCTTTTTTCTCTCTATCTGCTCCCACTTTGATTCATTCTTAGGAATCAATTGCGCCTGAAAGTCCACCCTAAAACCTTACCCCTCAATCACTACATAGAATGGGGACTATAGAGTGGACCCCCTCCGGTCCGTTGGAAGCCAGCCAGGTCAAGATCCGCAATGACAATCATATTAAACAGGAAAAAGAACGTTGAGAAGATCCAGTTTGTCAAAGTAAAATAGCGTAACGACGGATCAGTAACCACTACTAAATACTAAAACAAAAGAAGACTGTTTTATTGGATGAAAACCAACCAGAAAAAGTTATAGGCGTAATAGCTCACTTCATTTGCAAACCAAGTTTTTCTGAAAACTGAAAAATATTATATATTGTATTTGTACTTTACAATTTGTTTTTGCTAAGTATAAATCCCTTATGTGTGTATTTATAATATCAGCACAGTGTGACCGAAGGTACGATACTGTACATCATCACCT